GCAGAGAAGGCCACCTCACGATCATAGATGTTATTGTGTTCCAAACTTTAGCGCCTGCGTGGTATTCGCGCGAAGCCCCGATAAATCAGTAGGACTAATTATTGAGGCCAACAAAATATCTCACTGGGGTGATCTATGCGTCAGCGTGGCCTCCGTTTTTTTATCATCAAATGAGTTACGCTATTTGAATGCGACGGCACATTGAGGCACGATGGCGTGCGTAGTGCGTATATATGTTCAGTGTTGTTTCGAAATAAACCTTTGTTGCTTGTGGCGCTCTATGTGTTTGTACTTTGTCTTCGTCCTTGTCGTATTCGCACTTTACACTTCAAATATATTAAACAAACAAGCCCAGACTGTCATTCTTACTCGGTTTAAACGTGGTTTTGTCTGCATAATAACTGTACACTTTGTTTCTTATTTTCTGATGCTGTCTATTCGTGTTATTTACTTGTTCTATGGAATGTTCTCTCCTATCTATTGTTCTAGTGACACTTATCATGTGACATCCTCTCTGTAGTGATCCCAAGTGGGGGGGGGGGTGACAGTATAAATGAACAAAACAAACGAGTAAAATAAATATTATTGTTCTGCATTAGAACTGATAAACTTTCATTTCTTGCATGAACATTTTCTAATTGCTTTACTCATAATATCACTTGACAGAAACCTTGCATAATGTTGTGTTATCGTGTTTGTGCATAGGGGGGCCGACGCAGACGCGTTTCGTTATCAGCGGTGACCCGGACTCGGACTGTTGGGCTTCGTGACGTCAATGTTCGGTGTGATAGTGACTCGATCATGTATATAAGCAACCGCCCCTTTTCCTTCCTGGTTGTAAAACAGGGCAAGCTGATGATGCCGGTAAAGCACAACAACCAGACATCAACGCTGCCTCTGATCGTGGTCCGTACGTTGCAAAAGAGTGAGACTGCGTTGCTAGGGCGAGACTGGTTGGAATCTCTTAAATTGGATTTGTTGAGGGTGAGTGGGGTGGGGATCGATCGAGTAGCTAGCTTGCTTGAAAGGTTCTCGGAAGTGTTTGAACCAGAGCTCGGACAGATAACGGATTGTCAAGTAAGCTTGTTGCTCAAGGATGGCACAACACTGGTCTTTTGTAAACCTCGACCGGTGCCCTTCGCACTCTGAGATCCCGTTTCACAACAATTGAGGGTCTGGCAGAACGCAGGGGTGATTGTTCCCGTCCTAAAAAGCGACTCGGCCACGACACTGGTGGTGGTTCCAAAAGGAGACAAAACGGTCAGGATTTGCGGAGACTACAGAATGACGGTGGATCCCTGCTTGCGCACCGATCATTATCCGCTGCCAGTCATGGAAGATTTGTTTGTAGCCTTGCATGGGTGCAAATATTTCACTGTGCTTGACCTTTCAACCGCGTATCAGCAGCTGCAGTTGCACTCTGAGTTGCAGTCTTTGCTCACGATAAATACGCACATGGGGCTGTTTAAGTTTACGCGCCTACCGTATGAGACAACCAGTGCACCCTATATTCCAGGCAGTCACGGACGATGTTCTAGGAGGCTTAGATTAAGTCGCCTGCTACCTGGATGATGTGTTGATTGCCGGGGAAAGTTTTGAGGAGTGTTGGGAAAAGGTGGAAAGCGTGCTGACAAGGTTCAAGAAACGAGGCATTAAATTGCGCAAAGAAGAGTGCAAGTTTTTCGAAACATCGGTGGCGTATCTGGGTCACGTTCTGGACGAAAATGGCATTCAGCCATCCGAGGATAAGGTGCGCGCTATCAAAGACGCACCGACACCCAAGAACAAACAGGAGCTTCGAGCATATTTGGGCATGCTCAATTTTTATGCCAAATTCGTTCCGAACATGTCAGCAGAGCTGAAACCATTGTACGAGTTGTTGGGCGAAAATGTTAAGTGGGAATGAACGGACAGGGTGGCGGATACTTTTAAAAGATCTAAAGATTGGGTTATGCATCCCAGAGTACTAACATACTACAATTCGGATCAGGAACTGGGTATCGTATGCGACGCCTCGGCATATGGACTAGGGGCGATTTTATTCCATAAAATCTCGGGGGTCGAAAGACCGATAGCGTTCGCATCGAGGACACTAAGTCAGGCAGAGCAGGGCTACGCCCACCTGGAGAAAGAGGCTCTTGCAGTTATTTTTGGTCTAAAGAAGTTCCACAAAGTTTTGTTTGGTTGAAAATTTTCCGTTTATTCATCACCAACCCCTGGTTGGAATTTTCGGGCATGGCAAGCTAATCTCTACAATGGCAGCAGCACGGATACAGCGGTGGGCCTTAATTCTTGCAGCGTATGACTACCGATGGGTCTACCGAAAGGCAAGCAAAATCCAAAATACCAATGCCCTTTCACGGCTACCGCTCCGAGACAAAGCAGAGGAGTCGGAGGGCGTTCATTTCTTTTCGGTGCTAGACGAGGTTCCATTGTCGGCAAAGGAAATCAGATCGGAAACGCGTAAAGATCGATTGCTGTCCAAAGTAATGTTTTTTACGCAGAATGGTGGCCTGCGCATGTGTCGGACGACGATCTTTCACCACACTTCGTTCGCCGTAACGAACTGTCGGTAGACCAAGAGTGCGTAACATGGGGCGATCACGTGGTTATACCAGCTTCGTTGCAACAGATGGTTCTAGAAATGCTGCACGAAGGTCACCCAGGGATGACTCGAATGAAAATGCTGTCAAGGAGTCATGACGGGTGGCCTGGCTTAACGCTAGACATAGAGCAAGCGGTGAAAGAGTGCATCACTTGTCAGTTGTCACAGAATGCGGCAGCTAGAGTGCCACTAATATCATGGGGCTGGCCAACGCGTAGATGGCAGTGAGTTCATCTAGATTTTGCGCAAAGGGACCAGCATTACTATTTGGTCCTAATGGACGCTCATTCTAAGTGGGTTGAGCTGTTTGTCATGACAACAACAACAAGTGAAAAGACGGTAGAGAAATCGCGAGGTGTTTTTGGGCCTACGGACTACCAGAGGAGATCGTGACCGACAACGGGCCCCAATTCACATCGCAGCACTTCGGAACATTCCTGAGCAGGAATGGAATTCGTCATTCCAAATCTCCTCCCTATCACCCAGCTTCGAATGGTTGCGCCGAACGGTGCATTCAGACCGTCAAGAGGGACTTGTTTAAACAGATACTAGACGAAGAAAGAAAAGGAGACAAGAAGTACATACAACATCGCATAGACCAATTTCTCTTCAGTTATCGCAACACCCGGTTCATGCCCACTGGTGAGACCCCGGCCCAGATCTTCTTGTCGTGGCAGCCAAGAACCAGGCTGTGTCTGCTGCACCCTGAAATGGAACAACGCATGCGCGAAAGCGGGGAGCAGGCGAAGCTCCACACAGACCAGAAACGAGGGCCATGGAGAGACTTTAGGGAAGGCGACCAGGTTTTGGTAAAAGGGCTCCACCCGGACGACGACAAACGGCTGTTGGGTACAATTGCTCAGTGGTGCAGCGCATGCACGTACATTGTTCGCGTCGGAGACGAGGACCGATACGTTCACGCTGATAACCTGCGACTGCGTACATTTCAGGAGAACCAGAGCTGGCTTTAGGCTGCGGGAACAGTGCTGGACGGGCCGAGAGTGGAAAACAAGGGTCCGCTCTTTAGGGACACTAGAGAGCCCACCTCGACCAGCACGCCTACTCGGCTCAACGATCAGGCCCCGCCGCGGTGGTCTAGTGGCTAAGGTACTCGGCTGCTGACCCACAGATCGCGGGTTCGATTCCCGGCTGCGGCGGCTGCATTTCCGATGGAGGCGGAAATGTTGTAGGCCCGTGTGCTCAGATTTGGGCGCACGTTAAAGAACCCCAGGTGGTCGAAATTTCCGGAGCCCTCCACTACGGCGTTTCTCATAATCATAAGTGGTTTTGGGACGTTAAACCCCACAAATCAAATCAAATCATCGGCTCAACGATCAGGACCAACCAGCATCGAACTTGACGTCATCAGCAGCTGAATCAGCAGGGCCTTCTACCGAGCCTTCTCCGGGCCTTTTACACGACAGAGGGCTGATGCTCGATAGTGGTCTCCAGAACGGCGACCCCTCGGGAAAATCAACACCGCAGCTTCGACGACCCGGTTTAGGCGACCGCCAGAGCGTTACGTGCCGTGAGACGAAACCTTGTGAGGGGAGAGGAGTGTTGTGTTATCGTGTTTGTGCATAGGGGAACTGACGCAGATGCGCTTCGCTATCAGCGGTGACCCGGACTCGAACTGTTGGGCTTCGTGACGTCAATGCTCGGTGTCATAGTGGCTCGATCATGTATATAACCAACCGCCCCATTTCCTTCCTGATTGTAAAACAGTTTGTTGTGTGACCGAATAAACATGTGTTGAACTTAGCCACCGTGTGCTGCCTGCCGGTCTCGCCCCTGTTTAGACGAAGATATAATACATAACGCTTCGTTAAAGAGGTCAGCGAATTTCGTTTTGTTATGTTGAACAGCTTTCTCGCACTCACAACGGAGGCTTGTTCAGGAAGAACGCTATTTTTTACTCACACTGTTTTCATTTATATTAAATAACGCTTCAGACTAAGTGATGTTACGACTTCTAATTTTAAAGTGGAGAACGTAAGCTTTTTAATGCTACACAATTCACGTCGAAACAGCACAGTAAGCACAGTGCGTCAGCAAATAATGTCTAAAGTGCGTAGTGGATGCCACCAGAGTAGGAATACCGCCTTAATTGCGGAGTCACAGACCATTCACAAAGGTAAATTAAAGCTTTTGTTGGACTTTGTTTTTCCCATTCTATAGGCAAGCATCACGTAAGAAGGATAGAAAAAATGAACAATGTAAGTGCGGCAATTTTCTACCTCCATGCGTATTTTTGCACTAATTCAATTAAAGTACTCACGCTTGCTGACACGCAAATGGTAGCGTTTTTCTAATATAGACATGGTGCCCAAGAAGAAGGCTGCCGTGTACGTGCTGTTATGAAAGACGACGCCACAAAAACATAGCTTCAGCTTACCGGGACAATGAACTCCGTTAGCGCAGAGCTGCAGCGCCCGACGCTCAGGAACGATAAACGCGAAGTTATCCGAAGTAACGCCAGTGAACTGCACGCCTGCACAAAAGTCGTTTTAGCTGCGTCGATGTCCTCGCGCACCCTGGATGAAAGAGGAAAAAAAGAGGGGGCCTTGGTCGAGTGCCCGCGCCAGACTTTGAAAATGTTACCTTGGTTTCCACAACGGCAGAAGGCAGCCATCGTATATCTCTGGACAGCTTTCACCTTCTCCTTCTCCACGTCCTTAAAGCGTGTGTTTTGTATCGCAAGTTTTGAAACGTGAGCTGTTTCCCGACACCGGAGATAGTGGCGGGCGTCGCCCTCCTCGCCCCTCCCATAACGGCCGCGGTTGAATAGGCCGATTCTTGAGGTCATTGGTCAAGAGTGGGGACACGAATATGACAAGGTCCATGCTCCTAAAAATAATGATTACATAGCATACGTGCGAGTGCTGCTCTGTTCGAAAGTCCGCTTCTCGTGTACATGTGGAGTCTTGTCCCTTGGGTCTGGTCATTTTGCCATTATTATTGATCCTGCGCATTCAGGAGGCAGGGTTCGGTGCACACAAAAAAAAAGTAAGGCTACCCTTTGAACAAGAATGTAAACAAGAGACAGAGTTGACAGGTTTATGATTATCTTAGCTAATGAACTACGGCTCAAATTCATAAAATTCGCGCATTAACACTTTATAAAAACATTTTGGCAATAAAGAACTTTTTTCAATGTTGCGATACCGAAAAATAGTCAGTTTTTTTCTGCGCTTTCATATGCACTAAAGTCCTTATCACATTCTTTGAGTAAACTGCTCACGTTAGGTACCGCATAACGTCTAGACCACTGTTGTTTGGTTAAAGGCATTTTCTAAGATGCTGGTAGTACACGTTACATAAACTTCGCTTTCTGTTTCTGAACTGAAACACCTGCAAGTGGAAACATTCATGTAGCGGGGGACACCGTTGCTGCAGCAAGACACACCACAATATTGTGAAGTTTCAAAATTTTTTATTGTTCCGATGGTATAACATATGCGTGAAGACGACGCCAGTTATAAGCAAAAATACTTGGAACAATTCAGGTGGCTTCATTTTATATATACAGCTTTGAGAAAAAAGCAGTTGTACAATTAAAGTGCATGGCTATAGACCCTTCGAAAAAACGACGGCAACACTGGGCGGCACCATCCAAGGTAAAGGAAGAAATGACAACAAAAAAGCATGCATCCGCCGCACTCCGTTCTTCTTTATTCTGTTTTCGTTATGGGAGCCGCGTCCCACACGATTCTACGCTGAAGTTGTTGCTGCGGTCGTAAGAGCGTCCTGTCGTTGACTTGCTTCGGTAAAGCTGCCCTGTCTGTCTTTGTTTAGAGGCGGAAGACAAGAAACATCACTTTCCCACCTGGTCGTGAGGAAAACAATCGCGTATGACGCTGCTGCTATAACGAAAACGAAATAAACAAGAACGGAGCCTGGCAAACGCACGATTTTTGTTGTCGTTTCTTCCTTTACCATGAACGCTGCGACCCAGCGTTCCCGTCCTTTTTGCTATAGGGGTCTATACACTAAGGGTGTTTGCTTGAGCGGCTGCACAGTGCGAAGCGAAGTCTTTTGCCAGAGTTCTGTTATAGCCTTGAGGAAGACGAGTCCGCTTGTCGAAACGCCGGCTCGACACAAACCCAGTTTACAGATTTTTTCTTCGACAGTATAAACAACGCATGTTCAGTCTTCTTGTGTTCAACGGCCCCAAGGCGCATATATCTAGTCTTTGTTGGGAATCGTCACCATTGCTGCCTCTAAAAACAGAGCGAACAGTCTTAACGTTCCAGTTCAAAAACGTTCCAGTAGAGGTGCATCTTCATGAGCACATCTGGCTGTGTCGGCTTGAAGCATGAGATGTTATTGTAAGCTTTTGTTTGGTGAAGTCATGTGTGTTGGCTGGCGAAAAGTTTTGAACAAAGGCAAACGGTCCTGCTTACGCGAGCACACAGTGAGACACGATCACCTGTGTTGCGCAAAGCGGCTACGGCGCCCTGAGCGCCCAACAATTCACTGGTTTTAGCGGGAAAATTAGCTCGTGTAACATCGCGTTTTCCCTGCCTTGTTGAACCGCGGCTTTATTTTTGCATCAATCAAATAGCCCAATCTCTCTCTTTCCAATTTGTTCAAAAGCACCTGAATTGAAAAAATAAAAAGATACTTTTGGGGAGGGTATATTTAAAGGATAGCAGCAACCTTTGAAGGTAGCACAGCGGAGAAATTCGATACAAAAGACAGTCTGTCATTTATCGTAATGGTTGCACGTCGATTATGTTTACGTAACGTTGACTAACCATTGTTACTTTCAAAAATGTTGCCAAGAAACTCCTTGATAAAGGCTACAGCCATTTATGATATATCTGTAGTGGTCACATGCAGATAGCTCTGTGCAACTCCTCAGCATGCCAAGTGAACGTATCCGGAAATGCTGACCTTTGGCGCGTACAAACGAGCGAGCGCGCTGAAATAATGCGGCACCAGCTGGCTTCCAATAAGCGTCATTTTCCATTTGAGGTCAGAAGACCGCCGCCGGGCTTCGACGTCCACTTGCTTGCTGGAACCCGGCACATTTGGGGTACGTCCGTACGTCAATTGGCTTCACAAACTCACGATATATGCCGGCCTTCGGTAGAGTAAATGAGGCGCGCCTTGTGCATTCGGTACTTTTTCTTCTCCAGGGTCGTTCAGGAAGTGGCTTCATCTTATAAAAAATGCGATTGTAAATGTCAGCTACGCGTTTCTCATAAAATCTCTTCCTGCCTTCCTTTGGTACCGCACAAAACAAGTCTCACTGTGTAACTTAGCAAGGTGGCTGTTCGGGGTAGTTTGTAGGTAATTGAAATATTAAATACCTCAAGCTTAAGGGTCGAGAGAATGACGGCTACTTGAACTGTGCTGCGAAATGTACGACAAAACCACCAAAGGTTGCGAAAAAAAAAACAATGAAGGAAGCTGGTATAAAAGTGCTTATCTAGTGCAGGTTATCGAGCGTGGGAACTACTCGCTCATGAGGCGGTTTGATTCTGTGACTTAATCGATACCCAACCGCTTATTCACACATTGCCGCGTTTTCTGGCAATCGGCCTTCTCCAAGCGCTTGGCGACGCAGATCGCGATAAGATCAATGTCAACCAAGCCCATATTTAGAGGAAAGGCGGCGATGCGAAGTTTTCTAAAAGTGCAATTTTATAAAAATTTTATCCAGTCGGAAAAACTGTCATGCACATAGAAGTATACACTGAACGCCTGCACATGCCTCTTCCCCTGGAAACAAGGTGGCTGGAGATCTTACTCATTAAGCAAGCCGGCATCCTCAGCCAGAGATGTGATAAGAGTGCGTGGTTAATTACAATAGAATCAGGTATTATAAATTGGCGAGGGCACGGTATCCCCGCGTCCATGCGATATTCAAGAAGCCGAAGAGGATGGTCTGGACACTTCATCAAACCAACATGTACCCAAATCCGGAGGCCTACAGCCATTATTATGTGTAAAAGAAGGAGAGACCTGCACAGCTGGTACGCTGTGATATCGCGATATAAAAAAATGGCAATGGCCCTTGGGAGAAAGTGCATTGTAGCTAAGAAGCCAGCACCTTGTCGCAAAACGACCGTAACTTTGAAGCAAATTCGCCTCGTCTTAGCTTGCGTGCGGAACGTACCGCAGCGTGAATTCCACAAGTAAAACAACTACTTCCCTTGACCTCTTTGATGCCTGAAGTTTTGCTTCAATGAACAACATTCAGAAAAGTGTGGTTTGCATAAAGAAATGATCAAATATGCCAATAATGTTTTCAAAAAACCTATCTATATCTATAGGTGAGTAACGACTACAAGCCACGCTCATGATGCGCTCGTGGTCGTTTCGCCAGCTACTCATATACCCAATTTGGTTTTGCGGGACGTGAATGGATGACGAAGGTGTGTGACTGCGGCGAACATCAAGATCATCACATGCGTGTCTTGCAAGAACATGACTACATGCCACGCTCATGATGCACTTGCGGCCATTTTGCTACCTTCACATATACCAAACTTAGTACAACGTGACGCGAACGGACGACGAAAGTGAATGACACTTTCAAAATGATAATCATGACATGTGTACGAAGTAAAACGTCACTATACACACTACGCTCATAGTGCGCTCGTGGTCGTTTCGCTAGCTTCATATATGGCAATTTGGGTGTCACGTGACATCAATGAATGACGTAGGTATTTGTTTGGTTCAAACATAATAATAATGACACGCGTCTGTTGTAAGAAAATGACAACATATTTATTTACAGTACCTCAAAGGCCCCAATGAAGGGGTTTCACATGAGGGGTGGGCTATTACAATTGGTTAAAGGAGTAGATGCTCGATCGCTGCTTTGAAGTTGATGATACTGGAGTGGTGCGCAACATGAGGAGGAAGGCCATTCCAATCTTGTGCGGTCTTGACAAAGAAGGATGAAAGGTGCGCAGTGGTGTGAGCTCTTGGCGGGTAAACAGCTTTCATGTGATTGATGCGGTCTGAATGACGATGGGCTGGCTTGATGGTGGGAGTACGAGGCGATCCATGATAAAACTTGAAAAACAGGCACAGACGAGCTAAACAGCGGCGTGACGAAAAGGTAGCGAGGTTAGCACAGATTTAAGTTCGGTTACGCTTGACTGATATGAATAATCTGAAAAGATGAATCTTGCTGCCCGGCTTTGCACTATTTCAAGTGTTTTAGTATTGTTACTCTGATGAGGGTCCCAAACAGCGCATGCGTATTCGAGTTTTGGTCTGATTAGTGTCTGATAAGCGAATAGTTTGACAGGGGTAGGAGCTAGATAAAGGTTTCGGCGCAGGCAGCCAAGAGCACGGTTTGCTTCGTTAGTAGTGGGCGTTATGTGAAGGGACCATGTTAAATCTGAAGAAAAATGGACACCTAGATACTTGTATCTAGTTACGCATGAAATTTGAGTGTTGTTAATGAAGTATGCTGGAGATGAGTAGCACTGTCGGCGATGGAAACAGACTAGTGACGTTTTGTTTGCGTTAAGGGACATTAACCACGTTGTACACCAGATTTCAATTTTATGAAGGTCAGATTGAAGTT